ATAGATAGCTGTGTCCGGAACATCAGTTTCGGACAAACAAGGAGTTGGGTAATTCACTTAGGAACTATGTTTGTTACAGATTTTATCTAGTGTCCTGGAACTAACAAGCACATTTAAACCATTAACTCACAATCAGTCACTATGTTGGGGCTGGGGGAGCTTTTATGATTACAGAGTTATGTGGTCCCACAGTGCTATATTGCAAGGCTGAGAAAAAACTAAAAGACAGAACAAAAAAGAGAAACTGTGGAGCCAGGATGACCAATGCTGCTCATTCAGCAAAGGCATTGGTTAGGCTGAGCCACTCATTTTTATTAGTAATCAGCTGGGGTAAAGGTGAGTTACATTCAAGGACAGGACTACGTGTGAAGATGTGCATGTCAGGTAAAAAGGCTGAAAACCAAGACCAGACAAGGCCATAACAAGCCTTTGTTAGGGGAACAGATCTGCTGGGCTGTCTCTGAACAAAGGAGAGGCAAAGGCAATATGGCCGGGGCAGGGAGAGTCTTTTATAGAGACTGGGGTGGGGTTTGTAGGGGCTGTGGCAGGGTTGAGTGAGTTAGTGACTAGGGAATGGAGGAGCCGGTGATGTCACTAGTTGGTAGGTGGCGAGCGAGTATTAGGTTACTCTCTAGACGGGAACAGGGGCATTCTGGGAAGAAAAGTTTGTTCTTTGGTGGGATCAACCATCTTGGCATGACGTCACACTTGGGAGGGGGCAAGGCACCAAGGAAGAGGGCAGCTACTATACATAATAGCTGCTGAGGTAGTGGGAGACCTATCAGTGCAGTCCTACAGTTTCTATGGAAACTAATGCAGGCAAGGCTTGTAAAGGAAAAAAACAAAGAATTCTCAAATTAGGAACAGAACTGGCAAAATATGTGGTTATAATTAGAACATTGTCCTTCTAGTCAGAAAGTTTTAGTTGTGGGAATGGAATTTGGGTGTGAGTTACTCTGACCTTGGGCCTGACTCACTTCTATAAACAAGCCAATTTTGGGGTTAGCTCTTCACAGCCTGCTTTGAGCATAATCAATATTATAGTCCCTGCAAACAATCATGTTCTTCTTAAAGCATTCTGTTCTTCTCTAGCCCATATCCCCAGGACTTTACAAACTTCCCACAGACCAGTTTCAAAGGCCTCAGTTCAGATACAGTCACAGCAACAACCCCACTTCAAGTACTAGTTTTCTATATTAGTCAACTTTCTTGTCAATGAGATACAATACCTGACACCCACGATGTAAAGAAGATGTTTACTTGGCTTACAGTTTCCAGCAGCTTCCAGTGGAGGAAAACTGCCAATCCCTTGCAGTCAGGAAGCAGAAAAAGAGGTGAGGAACTGGGGACAAAAATACACTCTTCCAGGGCATGTCCCCAGCCAGCCACCTCCAACTGTCCCTCACCTCCTAACACATAAGACTTTAGGGGGACATTGTAGATCTAAACCATAACAACTTCCCAGCTTATTATAAGAGAACATATTATCCTACTTACAAACCAGATAAACATATCACCAAAAAAAGCTACAAAACAGTGTCCTTTATGAATACAGACAGAAAAAAATCAATAAAATATTAACAAATCAGCAATCTCCAAAAAGGAGCATACATCATGATTAAGTTGGATTTAGCTTGGGAATGCAAAAGTGATTCAACATGCAAAATATCAGTGTAAGAGAACATATTAATGTAATAAAAGACAAAAATCTACCTAGTCATCTCAACATTTGATAGAATCCAACATACTCTCATGATGAAATCTAGGAATACAAGAGAACTTCCACAACCTCATGAAAGCCATTTACAAGACAAACAAACAATCCAACCACAATTGATACTGAAGGTAAACCACCTTAAACCACTAAGAAGGCACACCTATCAGTTATTTCCATTTCTGTTCAGAAATCTCTTGAATTTTCTTGCTTGTGCAGCTAGGCCACAGATAGGAATAACAGCTAGACAGATGAAAGGAAGAAGTGAAACTATCTCTATGTGTAGATGGCATGATATTCATAGAGAAAATCCTAGAAAGTTCACTGAAAAATTATTACAACTAATAAATAACTTTAATCCATATTATGGGAGACAAGACTAATATATAAAAGTTAACTGTGTTTTCACACACTAGCAATAAACAAAATAAA